CTGGATAAGGTGCTCGTGGGTCACTCCAACCCCACAGCCCCCGCCTGTGACTCTTGCAACGATGCCTCTACTCTGCACTAGAGACGCCGTATTGGTGTCACTTACGGCTTTATAGCTTTGGAGTTAGGCCATTTCTCCGAGTTTCCAGGCTGGGGGGGAGGGGAAAGGAAGGCGCTAAAACAAGCTGTTATGCCAGTTCCTCTGTGTATGTGTGGGGGGTGATGAAAAGGTAAAACAAGGTCAAATGAAAAACAGGGCAGAGGGATCATGAGCTTAGGAAGACTGGCAGCAAGGGAAATAGTCAAAGTATAAAATCTCACCTCCCAAATCACTAAACCAGGGACCCAACCACCCACCGAAGTCTAAAGGGTGTGAACCTCCAGGAGGAACCGTTTAGTGTCACACAGCTGGGAGCAATAGGATGAAATGAAGTAAGGGCAAATTCAGACTGAACAGCAGGGGAAGTTTGATCTGTCCGGAATACAGGACTTTCCAGACAATTTGAGCCATCCAGCCCCCTGTCCTGCCTATGGGTAACGGCCAGTAGAGGAAGCTGCAAAGGAAAGCAGAATAAAGCAGGGCTTTGGAGTGGAGCCCAGAGCTGGAGCACGGAGCAGTGGAGCTGCAGGTTTTTGCCTGGAGCGGGAGCGGAGCCGAAGCACAGCTCCAAAGCCCTGGAATAAAGTTACTTGGCTGGGAGGCAATGCCCCCAAAGGGAAGTGGTGGAATGTTTTAAAAAGCTAGGCTTTGCAAAGTACTAAGAGCGAACGGGCTCCAAGCTGCATGGGGAGGTCGGAAACAAGGCCCAGTTTCCGTGATTCATTAGACATTTTGTCTCCCATTTGTAGAGTATGTGAACCAGATGGAGGATTGCCTCTCACCTAGCAAGCACCAAAGATCCCAGGTGTCCACACTTGAGAAGCCAAAGGGACACCTGGGAAAGAACGGGCTAATCAAGGAACCAAAGAACCCTTTCCAAGGCAGCTTCGCCAATGCCGTGGAGAATCCAGAGTACCTGACCCCACACAACCTTTCCTTGGCAAGTGCTTTCACGCAGGCCTTTGACAACCCTTACTACTGGAACCAGGACCCTTCCAAAGTCAATCCTGCCGAACCAGGCTCCACAACCAATGGCTTCACCACGACTCCGACTGCCGAGAATCCAGAGTATCTTGGCCTCACCGCGTCCATCCCGCCGCCCAAGGACACATCAGATTAAGGGCTGCGCCTGGTCAGCAGAGGAAGCTATTTCAGCCAAGGCAGCTTGGATATGTATCAATGTATGAATGGTAACAATTCATTTATGCAGCGTGCGGGAGTCCTGTAATGAAGGGCTCCAGGGAAGAATAGCACCAAGGCCCGTAACTATTGCTCAAAGGCAGCTCTGCCAGTCCTCTTAAAACTAGATCTGGTTGATGACTGGAGATGACCCAAAAGGACCGAACAGGGCTGGTCCTCGTCTCATTCCAGCGAGGATGTAGGGGCTGAGCATTGCTTTCAACAAGCCTGTCCTTCATTTATCTACGAAACTGGATTCATTTTGACAAATACCTTGGTGTCTATGGAAAACATGGGACCTATGGGGTCTCTTCCATCTCCACCTTCTCTGTGCAGGGATTGTCAGACCCCTCCCACTTCCACATGCCAACCATGGGGCCGCTTGGCTTATAAAAGCCAGAGTCAGGTCAATGGTGGGGTTAAAATTCAAGGGCTTTAATCAGAGTGATTCTGACTGGAAAAATGTGAAACGAAGCCTACAGGGGTGGCAAACCACTGGCGTCTCTTCTCCTTGCTGCATCGTTAACAGGAAGGGTGGGGGACAGGCCTTCATTCACGTGGGGTACTGATAAGGGCGGATGTGCTCTCACAGCCTGAAGGGGGTTACCAGTAATGTTTTTTTTAAGACACCCATGGAAAAGCTTTAACAGGACAGGATTTAAAAGTGGTGGTGGATCGGAGCTGCCCGCATCAGTGAGTAGCCCTTCCCTGCCCCTCAACAATTCAGAGAACTAGGATGAAGCATGCGGCAGGCACTGTAGTTCAGAGCTTTCTCTGTAATAAGTAATCAAGAGCAGCAAGGGAGGAGGTATGACCAGACCACTATTAGTACAGCTACTGGCCAAGGACAGGACAGCTCAGCTGTCCAATTCAGCACCCATTCTGGAGAACAGGATGGGAACGAGAGACAAGGAATGGAGATCAGGGTACCAGTCCTTTCCAGCAGCTACAGCAACCTACTCAACAGACCTTCATTCCAACTGCCCGTGGAGCTGGGAACCAGGCCTCTGTCCAAGCTCTGCGAAACGGGTGCGGGGTGGAGACAGGTATTGCTTTGCTATTGTACAACCTCTCACACCATGAGATCACCCACTGAGCTGGTCATGCTTGCTTTGACTTCCTGTTTTAAGACAATGAACTAAAAGGAAGGAGCACAGCCTGTTCCCACTGAAGTGGCACTGTCCGCATAAATGCAATGGCTTCCTCATCCCTCTACCTGGAGTATTTATTTTTTAAATCGGCAGTCACTCATTGCCCCTCCAAATTATTCAAGAGGGCCGCATATGACACTAAAGAGCAATGATCCACTTCCAAAACTGGCTTGGGTCTTCCAGTGTGGTAATCCCCCAGAGACTTCTGTTAAAGCCTCAATCTCTCCCTATATCCGTTTAGGTTTACATTGGTTTGTCATGCAATGCCCTAGATAACATTCAAACTCTCCACCTGGCCCTTCTCAATTCAAACCTTCCCAGACCTACATGTGCTAGAGAGAAGTTTGCTCTTACAAAACTTCTCAGGGGGATAAGCTGACTTGTGATAAGACATCCCCAGATCCTGTTTAAAAATGTTAGTTTTATGCATTGTACGAGGTGACTGATGGATTGTTTTTAATCAACTGTATCAAAACTATTTGTATATTTGACTGTACATTGTTTTTCTACTCTATTTGTCTGAAGCGTTTTTCCCCCAAGAGTGCACATCTCCTTTCTTTCTTGTGTGAGGCAAATGTGTTTGCTGTTTACTTTCTCCTCTCAGAAAACTTTTAGAAGTAGGAATATTGAGCATTCAGCATCCGCAGCAGATAGTAACCCTTAGCACTGCTGTAGCACCCCCCTGTGCAGGAGAGCAAAGGGATGTAACCACGTTACCTACCCCTCAGAACCGGGATCTAGGTTAAGTCATTTGTTATATAGGCTGGAAAACTGAGGCAGACACATGGCAAAGCCCTTCTGCCAAGGCCTACTTTAACATCTGTTTGATGTTAAACAATGATTATGATGAGTAATTCAATCCAATTTAGCCATCTGATGGGAGAGAAAGGAGATCTGAAGCCTCCAGTCCCTGCCAAGTCTTCATTGAGAAATGACTAATGAATCCTACTAAGAGGACCGGTTCACCTGCATTACCTGAAAAGACATCCACCTTTCTGACTCACTGCTGGAAAAAGTGAAGGTAACCAACAGCATTTCTCAACCTGGAATTTTTCAGTGAATGGTTTGATTAGAATCGGCCAACTGCTCAGTTTAACCTCGATTATTAACTCCTCTGGGCTGACTAGGAGCTCAGATACCGTGGTGGGGAGTACATTAAAACCACAAAGATAGAACAGAAATGTCTATTCTCTCTGAGATGCCATGGACAATTAATCCGACCAGCATTTCTGAGCCTGATGGCCAGTCAAACTAGTTCCCATCCTCATTAAGATGGAAAACATACCAAAGGGGAGAGTAAAGTAATTTTTTCTGGCCATTAAAGAAAAATCTGAGAAGAAATATTTCTGCCCAATTTGCTGAACTATGAATCCTATCCAAGTCTCCAGCCAAGCTAACTGAAGGAGACAGTCTCAAATTTCTTCGTCAATGTTGTTTTCACTAGAGAGAAAGAGCATTTTGTGATATTAATGAGCACTTGGCCCATCCTGTCAGCTCTGTCTTCTGTATATTCCAGCAGCCATTATGCTTTGAGCCAAGGAGCTTGCTAGCTGTGAAACATTAACACATCTGAGCTGTTCACCTTCTATCTTTTAACTCATTTGCTTTTCTAATCAGGGAACCCATACTGGCATTGAAATACTCAGAGCCTAACCTTCCTGTGTATGCACAATTTCTAAACACTAACTTAGGGCTGGTCTACACTAGAAAAATAGATTGGTTTAACAACATCGGTCAGGGGTGTGAAAAACCCAAACCCCTGAGTGGCATTGTTAAACCGACCCAATTCTCTGTGTAGAGCTGGATTACCTAAAACAATGGGACAACCCCTTCCGTCAGCGTAGGTAGTGTCTACACTGAAGCACTCAAGTGTACGCTCTGACAGCGTAGACAAGGCCTAATCCTTTCACCCATTAGGAAAATCTCCTTTGAGTACCTGCTGCAAAAACAGTGTGTTTCTACATTGAGATAGCAAACTTGCGCATTTCATCTGCACTCAAGGCAGTCCCTTGGCCTTTTGCCTCAGGTTCTCTCTTCGTAAAATGAAGCTGTCTTCGCTGCCAGAAAAAGAAGTGTGTCTGTGCACTGAGATAGCGAACGATGTAAAATCCTAGTGAAGACAAAAGCATAGGGAGTTTTTTACCTGCATGCAGCTAGACCAGATCAACCTCAGGGGGTACAGGGATTGACCTCATCTAGCTGCATGCAGGTAAAAAGCTCCCTATGCCTTTTGTCTCCACTAGGATTTTACATCGTTCGCTATCTCAGTGCACAAAAACACTTTTTACAAGTGCAAAATTATTCATCTAGCATACAGCACCCACAAGCGCAAATAAAACGGTTTTCTCTGAACAACCTTTCTAATCAAAGGGGTTGCAACCCTCAAGCGACATATTTTGGGCAACCCAGAGTTCCAGGTGACTGAAATCCATGAACAATATTCACCTGCCCGCTACTGTAACCACAGCTAGAGTTTCAAAGCTTTCATAGCCCAGTGCACTGTACCCCTATCTTATAACACAGTAATAATCTCCCCGGTCATTTATACTCCCCGACAAAGTAAAAAAGGAACAAGGTTTTACTGTGATTTTATTTACTACTGGCTTTTTTTTTTTTTAATACACAGTCTATAATAAATAGAATCACCCTCCCTTAAAGCATAAATTAGACACTGGGTAGCCAGAATTTCATTGGCACTGCCAGGTTCTTATCTTTAACACCAGCATTCTCTTAAGTCACTTAGCACTTTATCCTTTAGCTCATTCACCCCCTTGGCATTCAGTGTCAAAGGGCAAAGTCATGACAATAGAAAAGTGAAAATTGGGTGTTAAACAGGAGGGGTGGAGTGGAGGGGGAAGTTTTCTGCAGGGAGCAGATGGGCAATTAGAAGTCAGTCACTAATTATGGTTCTCGCAGGAGGAGAGGAAAATAAGAAAGGGATTTTACTATCCAAAAACTGATGTCTAATTGATCCTGCTTTAGCACTGGTCTAAACAGTGACAAGGGTATTTTTAAATGATTAACAATAGTATTTAGCATTTAAGAACAATTCAGTTCTTCTCTAAAACCTTCTGATCCAAATCACCAGGTCTTCATAACCACTGTGGTCAGTTCTCTGCCCCAAAACACTGACTATCTCCTACTCTATGGCAGGAAGCCTCTCTCATTTCCATGTTACCACAGTGCTAACCAAAACAGGCAGAGCTTCCTCAGTGCACTTAGAACCCTTGGTGGGGACAGGAAGGGCAATCTGGTCTCTGGTAGACTCCACCCAACCTACTTGGATTTTAAGGGAGGGTGACAGCAAGGCAAGAAGTTGCCCAAGTACGTGCTACAGAAATAGGAGAAACGGGGACATTTACGGAATGGAAGGGGGTAGAAAATGATGGCATGAGGCTGCTCTCCTCCTCCTTGGGGTTTGGGTGGCTGTCTGGGGTTAGAGGGCATGCACAAAGTAGTACCAAAGTTTAGTCATTCCTCCCCAACAGCAACATGTAGTAAGCTCTCAGCTAACCCATCTCCAGTCCCAAGTCACCTGATGTGATGCCATTCCTCACAAGCCTCTTTGTACAGCAAAGTTAGAGATTCAAGTTACCTTGATGTCTCTTCCACACATGATGCTGCCTGGCCATATAGTAAAATAATTAAGCCAGAAGGCAGAGAGGAGCAAAGCAGCAAGGTAATGAGATTTAAGAGTGGATGGGCAGAGCTGAAGGTGATCAGAACAGAACACATGTAGTGACGAGGGTGCTGCCGGGGCTACAGGATGACACAGGGGGGACGGCTGTTGGTGATTTTTTCGAGTGGTTCCCCATTTCTGGCTCTTCTTATTGCTTCAATGAGCTAGAGAACAAGAGACAGAATGGAAAGGCATTAATCCCTCCAAAGATTCTCCCATAAGCCTCTAATGGAGAAGAATTACTGAGCCCTCTCCACACGCATGGGCCAAAACTGCAGTAGTGTCTACTGATCTTGTGGGCTCAGCCTGAAACAGTTTCAAGGACTGGACTCTCAGAAGATGCTATGCACCCCCCCTTCTGAAAAATCAAGATACCTTAAAAGGTGTCTCAAGCCAGGCATCCAAAAATCACTACTCATTTTTGAAAATGCTGGCCAAAGTTTCTAAGCCAAGTAATATTAGAGGCAGACAACAGTTTGTGGTTTAAGCTGCACTAAAGCAGGGTCCAGGATGGTGTCTGAATTCTTGTTACAGGCAGCAGGGTTCTGATTGTAATAACATGCCCTTCAGTTTGAAATGTGCCTTGATACATTATGAGGAGAGTAGCAAAGCCCTAGGATGATGAAATGCCTTTGAAAAGCCTGTCACTTCCAAAAATAGAAAGCTTCTCCGTCAGAAAGGGATTGTAAACAGGAGCGTCCCTATAGGCACATTCCACACAGGCTGATGCAAGGGTCAAGCTGGGATCTGGATACTTACATCCTTCTCATAAGGAAAGCCACCATTCTCTAGTTTGGAGAAGACAAGCTGCCCATTGATTTCAATTTCAAAGGCACCTTAAAAACAGTAAACACAACCGAGCTGTAACAATCCACAGACACTTCCAAACTACATTTTTAATTCACTGATCAGTCCCACAGGATCACTTACTCAATGCTGAAGATCAGGGCATTCAGTCAGTTTAAGCATACAGACAGCAAACAAGGAAAAAACTATCTAACTGATGCTATGCTATAAGCCTGTGCTAGGTCTGTCTTAAAATATGTGCTTTTAATCCAAGGATCTCAAAGAGCTGCATAAAATGTCCTACACCCCTCACATAAAATGTCCCCCTCACAACCTCACCATGAGGTCAGGAACTATTATCCTCGCTTTACAGAAGAGGAAAGCAAGCCACATGACTTGCCCCTGGTCACCCAAAAGGCGCGACATTCAGATACAGAACCCAGGAGTCCTGCTGTATTAGATTACACAGCTTCAAATTTGCAGTTAAAGATCAGTTTCTGTGTACAGTAATATCCCAACATCCTCGTACAATTGAACCCACCTGAATAATGTTAAGTATCCTCTCCCCCATTAAGATTACTGCCCACATCACTTGGTCTGAGGCAGTGACCTTGTCAGACACCATGTGCTAAGCAGGAACAGACTGGGTCGTGTGCATATGTGGCGTAGAGTCCCTCGTGATAAGACAAGACTGGTCTGGGGTGTAGCAAACATAAAGGGGATTCTTTATATGCACATAGCTTTGTTCTGCCCAGGGCCCTAGAAGATGCAGATTCCAGCAGGTCACTGGTAAAAGGGCATTCCATACCATGAATCTCAACCAAAAAAGCCCTGCCCCACGGTCCTGAAGGTTTCAAACTGAGATCCATCACTTGCTGCATTCCTGTTGAGCCCGACATTCTCAGTTGGCTGCAGAAAGAGGCAGTTCTTGTGGTTAGCAGGTCCTGGCCCAATGAGTTACATATCCTCTAGGAAAACCATGTGTATGGGACCAAAGCAGTCTCCTCCTCTCTGCACTTTTAACCCCTTTCACCCTTGAATTATTTGCCAATACACAAGACATGTCACCTAGGTGGCCTTTAGAGGACAAAGCTTTGAGGCTGCAAGGTTGGCATGGTCGCACCTAAGTAGTTGCGAAAGTTTGGTGGAAAATCCTACCTTTCCCCCCAAGCCTGGATTCGATTTCTATATCTGGGTACTCTTCTTTCACTGCACTTGCCAATTCCAGGTAAGTGGACTCAAACCCACAGGGCTCACTGATAAAAAAGGAAGAAAAACAGATGGTTGTAAAAGACACACACAGGGTAAAGCTTTGGAGAGGCTACTGGAGCTGCTGAGAGGCTAACATGAGGAAGACAAATTTCAATGCATTGCTATACAGAGCAAAGATCTAGTGGGAGCTGAACTGCAGAGCAACACGCAAAGATGGTGGAATGGATATGGGGCATCCCCCTAAAGACCATCACATTCCCACTGAGCCTCACATCCCCCTATGCACTCATTAAACTACAGTCCCCTCTCTGTGAGCTGCCAATAACTCCAATCTGCCTAATTTAGCCCACCACTAAACACTCCCCCACCACATTCCCTCCATGACAAGATCCCCTCTGCAGCCCACACAACCCCCCATGCTCCCACAGCCCCCCAAGAGCCCACCCAATCTCCAACCCCCCAAGAGCCCACACAACCCTCCAATGCTCCCAACCGCTCCCCAAAACCCCACACAACCTCCAACCCGAGCCTCCCAACTCCCCATGCTCCCAACAGCCCCCAAAACCCCCTAGAGCCCCCCAATGCTCCCAACAGCCCCCCAAGAGCCCACAAAACCTCCAACCCGAGCCCCCCAATCCCCCAATGCTCCCAACAGCCCCCCAAGAGCCCACAAAACCTCCAACCCGAGCCCCCCAATCCCCCAATGCTCCCAACAGCGCCCCCAAGAGCCCCCCAATGCTCCCAACAGCCCCCCCAAGAGCCCACACAAGCCCCCAATGCTCCCAACAGCTCCCCCAATGCTCCCAACAGCCCCCCAAGAGCCCACACAAGCCCCCAATGCTCCCAACAGCTCCCCCAAAGCCCACACAAGCCCCCAACAGCCCCCCTAATGCTCCCAACAGCCCCCCCAAGAGCCCACACAAGCCCCCAGTGCTCCCAAAAGCCCCCCCAGTGCTCCCAACAGCCCCCCCCAACGCTCCCAACAGCCCCCCCAACGCTCCCAACAGCCCCCCAACCCCCCATGCTCCAACAGCCCCCTCAACCCCTCAACGCTCCCAACAGCCCCCTCAACCCCCCAACGCTCCCAACAGCCCCCCCAACAGCCCCCTCAACCCCCCAACAGCCCCCCCCAAAAAACTCCCACCAGCCCCCTAGAGCCCCCCTAGGACCCACCCGGCCGAGAGCCCACGCCAAACACCCCTGCCCACGCCGCCCCCGTAGCCCCCGTAGCGCCCCATCCCGCGGGGGGGGGGGGCGGCCTCTCACCAATACTCCACCACGATGCGGAGCCCGGCGGGCGCCGCCGGCTCGGACCCTCCGCTCATCCCGACCCCCCCCCCGCTCGCGCTTCCGGCTTCCCTGGTCACGTGCAGGGGGGCGCTTCCGGGATCCGCCTCTCCCGCCGCCGCCGGCCCCGCGCTCTAGCGACCCCTGGCGGCGGAGCGGGGAACTGCAGCCTCCCTCCCCCCCCAGCTCACCAGCCCCCCCTCCCCCTCCCGGGTCTGATCCCCCTCCCCCCCAGCTCACCAGCCCCCCCCATAACTGATCCCCCTCCCCCCCCACCTCCCACACACAGGGGCCGAGCCCCTCAGGCCCAGGCACCCCCGTCTCGTGTTTGTTTTGGGGAGACCCCCCCCCCCCCGGCCCAGGTTTTGTTTCCCTGCGGGCGCCTCCCCAACCCCTGCCCGCCGCCCGCCGGCGTTTTGAACCTCCTGCTTGCGAAAGCCCGTCTCATCCTCTCTGGGGGGGCCAGGATCCCCTGATCCCACTCGCGCCCCAAGCCCCCCGCAAATGAAACTCGCCCAGGCGTCGCGGGGCAGCACTTGGTTTATTTCGCCTCTTTCCTTCCACCGATCTGAAACCGTCACTTCGCAGTTAACTTCGCCCCCCCCCAGACCGCCCCCCCGCCCCCCATTTGCTGAGGGAACCAGGGTGGGGGCAGCGGTGGCGATGCGGCCGCTCTCCCTCTCCCTGCTCTAATTGCACACCCGGAGAGGCTCATAGTCCTGCTCGGCCAGCACCAGGCCGGGGCAGAAGAAAGGGTGCAAGGGCTCCTGGAAGTTGCCCCCGAGGGTGCAGATCTCTGCCATGCACTCGGCGTTGTAAAACCCAACCCTGCCGCTCTCATAGTCCAGGCAAATGCCCACCTGCATGGGGCTGGAATCCAGGGTCAGGAGGGCTGGGGGTGAGGACAGGGCATAGTAACGGTTGCCGGGTATCTTCCGAAGGGCCCAGTATCCATTTTCAGGTTTGAGATCTTCTGTTGCCTTGCGGTTGACACAGTGGCTGGCTACCCCAATCACCCAGTTGCTTTTGCCCCCAACGCTCACCTCCCAGTAGTGCCTGCCTGCGCGGAAAGCCTGAGAGCAGAGGACATAAAGACATGGCTCAAAGCGCTGGGGGTCCTCCAGGACAGCCTGGGCACTGGGTCCCAGTTTTGCCGATTTCAGGTCTTCGGAGAGCTGCAGGTGCGAATGGGCTGTCTTCGGGTCCAGGGTGAGGCGCTCCAGAGCAGACCGCATCACATACCACAGCATCCTTCTACAAACCATGTACGTCAGAGAAGGGCTGGAGAGGACAGCGGGCCTGTAGTGTCTCAGCTCCTTGCTACGCCTGGTCAGCTCTGTCTTTAGATGATCCACCTGGCTATCAGCCATACCTGTTAGGTGCCCATCATGGTCCTCCACCTCACTCAAGTAATCCATTAGCTCCAGAACACAAGCTGCCCTCTTGGTGATGTCTGTCACTCTGTTCTCCAGGCGGCTGAGTACCTGCTTCTCTTCTTGGCCAATCTTGGCCATCACAGATTGCTCCTCAGCATACAGGAAGCTGTGCATCTTTCGGAAGTCCCCCATCACCTCCTCCCGAAGGGACTGCAGGTCATTCTGAGTAGCCTGGATCCTTTTCTTGTAGCAGCTCTGGAGCTTTTCCACACCCTCTTGAGCCTCCAGGAAGTTACAGACCACGTCTTCTATTTCTTTATCACAACTCTGCCCCACTGGGTGCCTCTGAGGAGCCTCCATGGCAGAACCACTGCCCTCCTTCCCGTCCCTCTGCTGCTTCAGCTGTACTGATGGGAATTTAGCAACCCTTCGGTGGGGTTTCCCCACAGCTGGATCTGCCGGCACTCCAGCAGGGTTACACTTCCTAAAGGCAACAGCTGTCCACGGTGCACAGGAAGCAAGGTACTGCAAAGCCCAGCCCCACTGGCCCTGGGAGAAGTCCTGGTTACCAGTTCTTCACTAAGTAGTGCATAAGTTTCAGTTTCTCTGAATGCAGTGGGAGGAGCCCAGCCAGGTACTCCTTGCTTGTGAAATCTGCTGGTGTTTGCCAAAGGCTGGAGACCTCTCCTTATCTACAGTACAAAGCTTGCAGTGGAATAAAGGCTGAGTTTGAAATACCCACCAGGCCTGCCATCTGAGCACATCTAGATTCTCTCACTGTGACATTCTATACCATGGGGGAGTGCCCTGTAACCCCCATATTCCTCATTTATATAGAATTGTGATCTTGCATATAAAGCAGGCCGTGTGAGGTATCAGGGGAAAGGTTATGGTGTGCTGAAACCTATTGTTCCATCAAAATATGTATATCATCAATTCATATGAGGTTATGAGAATGTCCTGTATGGTTGTCACTAAAATATGCTATGGGTTTGGGAGGTGCCTAGATACTAGCTCTCCAGAGACAATGACAAGGGAGATAATGACAAGGGAGGTAACCAACCCCCGGTGGGTGCTGGGCAAACATCACCAGCCATTGTCCAGCAAGGGAGCTACAATGCAATGACTCACCTGCATAAGGCCATACCAGGGGAATTCCTCAACCTTCCCTGGCCCACAAGCAATGCCCACCAGACATGCCTGGACTTGTGTTCTCCAAGCACATGAACTAAGAGTATAAAACAGGCACTGGCCACATGCTGGGCCTCTCTCCAGCCCCCCACCTATGCCACAAGCAACAAAGACACTGAGAAGACTGAAGACTCCAACAGAGGAGACTGGCCCAGGTTTAAGGGACAAACCTGTATATTAAGGACTGCAATATCCAGTGGGTGAGAAAAACTGCTTAATCTAGATGTTGCCCAATTTAATAGAGCTGAGAGTTTAGACTGCGTGCTTATAAATATAATATATTTTATTTTGGTAACTATCTCTGACTTTTTGCCTATCACTTATAATCACTTAAAATCTACCTTTTCTGGCAATAAACTTCTTTTACTATTTATCTTTACCAGTGAGTTTGTACGAAGTATGTGGCAAATCTGCTCAGGTTTTGCGAAGGCCGGTGTATATCCACTTTCCACTGATGAAGTGTTGAATCAATTCATAAATTTGCACTGCTTGTCTTGAGCAGTGCAGGACGGTATATTCCTGAGATACAAGGCTTGGAGCTGCGGGGATTTGGCTGGTGCCTTTCTCTATGTGTTTCATGAGTGGCTCTGGGAGCATTCATGCAATCTAGCTGGGTGTGGGGGCTCCACATGAGGTTGTGCTGAGTGATCACAGCACCTGAAGGGGTTTGCTGTTTGTCACTAGCAAAGCATTGTGAGAGACAGCCCAGGCTGGAGAGTTAAGGGGGCAGAGCGATCCCATGGTCCCAGGCTGCACCCCAGGGATCCCCGTCACACTCACCTCTGCCTCATTTCCTCTCTCTCACCCTAATGCCTCCTGGTCTGTGGGTGCGTGAAATCTCCGCAGCAAGGCAGCATCGAGGCTGGGTGTGGGACAAAGCTGCCTCAAGTAGCAACTGTGCACAATGCAACATGCAGGATGTAAGGCGGAATCCAGCTAAACTTTTAAAACCAGCGGCCAGAGGCAGATTCTTCAAGCCACGGACTGCCTCAGCTGACCTGCTGTTTGCCTCTGGAGTAAGTGGAGCTGTGCTCAGTCATAGCTGGCCGATGATACCCTGCTCTATGCAGATGGTCCGTATACAGGGTGAGGAGATGGTGACATTGTCCATAGGTGCATAGATCTGAAAGCCAGAAGGGATCTTTTGATCATCTCGTCTGACCCCTGCATAAGAGAGGCCAGAGAATCTCACCCAGTTACCCCTAAATGGAAACCAATCATTTGGCTAAACATCTCCCAGAAAGGCATCCAGTCTAGAACTGGAGGTGCCATGGGATGGAATATCCACCCCTCTCTCGCAGTGCAGGTTTGTAAATCTGTGGTGGCACCTGGAGTTGCAGATCCAGCTCTGAGATTATAAAGCCAGAGGAGAGAAACCAACAAATCAGTGGCCTTGGCGTTTCTCACCCATGGGACCAGAGGCAGCAGAGCTTGTCAGGGACGGGGCTGGAACAATTTGTATGGTGCGGCTGCTGAAAGCCACTGAACAAAACCCTAACCCCTGTACATGGCAGAAGCTCCGCATTCGGTGGCTACTCTTACTTCAAGCCAGAGGGTGCTGCTGTACCCCCCAGTGTCTCTGGTTCCAGTGCCTCTTCCCCAGGAAATTCCAGCCCTCCCCATGCTCCCTGAAAAACAGGCCCCAGATTTTACCCCTCACTTGAGCAGATGGCGGAACGGGAAGTGTCAAGGGAGGCCTTGCCCCTCCCCTAGAGTGAGGAGAACGAACCATGCTGCTGCCCCACTGCACTTGGGTTTCACGTTTAGATCAACCCTATGTGAGACCCTGATCCGCTGGTCCCTGGGTCTGTCCTGAGCCAGGATCTGAACCAGCGGGATCAGCGTCCTGCAAAGCCAAGTTACAAACCAGTGAGCACCCCACCCCGTGCCAGCACAATGGCTGGAGGGGCACAGCCCCACTGGAGTGCAGCTGCCCTTGTTATAAATGAAAGCACCACGCAGGGGCAGGGTGAGATACCAGAGGAGAGTGGCAATGCCATTAACCCTTTCCTTGCTGCAGCGCTGGTGGTGAGTATGTTTGGCAGCAGGCTGAAGGTGCCAGGAGCCCCTTGGGTCCAGGAAAAACCAGGCTGACCCTGATTGGTAACCCGCACGCAAGTAGCAGGGTGCTCCATGGTGTCTTAAAGGGGTGGGGCACATCAGGGTGCAGTAGGTCAGGGTGCCTTCCCACCCCCACTTCTCTTCAATGCGCCACTTCCAGTCGGTGGCAGAGTCCAGGGTTTCCTGCCAGCGAGGAATACTGAGTGCTTACGTCCTGCCTCCCCTCACCCTCCGGCAGCCAGAAATAGCTCGTGACATGGCTTGGCACCAGGTGGAGTCTGCGGTGCTCAGGATCCGGGGGTAAGTGCCGCTCTACGCGTCAGCACATGGGAATTCCAGCACGCAACGGAACAACTGGCTTCCCCTTTATTCTGGTTGTGAAGGGAGAAGGACGGGAGCCCAGGGGCAGGCAGGTGCGGAGGCCGGCAAGCCGGAGCGGGGGGAGGTCCCGGCTCAGTGCTGGTCTTGTCACTATTTGAAACATCCAGCTCTATCATCACACGAGTGTGAAGTGTTCGGGGCCCTCGCTGCGGCTGCGTGTGCAGGGCTGGAAGGGAGCTGCCCGCTCGGCCAGCTGAGTCATTTCGGAATTGGGGCTGGAGCTGGGCGGATGGCAGTAAAGCTTGGGCCCTTGGAGCCCGCCCTTGTTAATGGGGCCGTTTGCCAATTAAAGAGGGGAAGAGGAAAGGAGGGGGGAGGCAGCCTGTGAAAACCACGTGGAGGGCACTGGGATTTAGCCCAAGAGCTGCAGCAACGGGGTGGGGGAACCCTGGGAAGGCGTCGGGTGGAAGCCGCGGAAGAGTGCCGGCTCCGGGAGAGACGAATCGGGTTATGCAAGAGAGCAGGCTGCTCCACTGGAAGGAGGCCATGGGGGTGGTCTTCTGCTGCGCCTGCCCCGGCAAGCGGGGCCCCCCAGGGAAGGCGCAGGCGTACCCTGAGCAGAATGGGACACTCAGCATGACCTCCCACTGCAAGGTAATCGCTCCCTCCCCAAGGGGCCATCTCCTCTCTGCAGCGCAGGGTCCCCCCTGCTGCGAGACACTCGCAACGCCACTGAAGAGGCAGGGGCGACACAAGGGACAGCCTTGGGAGCCTCTGGGCCTGCTGCCTGCCCGCCTGGGGACCCAGCCCTGCCAGTGTATAAATCGGTGTGTCAATCTTTTGCATGTGCACGTGGCTGTGTGTGCGTGCACAAATACGTGTGCCTGGGGGTGTGCACGGATGCATGTGTCTGTGTGGAGGTGCACGCACGCACGAATGTGTATGCGTACATGGATGCATGCAAATATGTAGACGCTTGTGTACATCTGGCACGTGCAGCTGCAGAGGTTTGGGCTGAGCCCTGGGCTGGGAGCCGGGAGTTCTGATCCCACCTCAGACACCTGCACTGGGCAAATTATGTCGCTTCTCTGTCCCTCAGTTTCTCCACCCGTACAATGGAGGGATATGGGGATCAAGTGGTTCACGGGCCCAGACTGTCCCTGAATTCAGGACAGGATCTCTAAAGTTCTTTTTAGCTCGATGGGGCCATAGACTAAGTGCATGCATGCACCTGCCCACCCCACAGCAGTCCCGGCGTCACATCGGCAGGGCTCTCCCGGCCCCAGCCAGCTCCCGCTGTCGTCAGGAGCACCCTCTTCTCCCTTCTCCATGGAGTCCAGCGGGAGCAGGAGCTGCACTGCAAGGCACTGGCTAAGCAGCCTCAGCAGGTACGCGTGGAGACTAGTTAGCAGCCACCAGGGGTGCTGGCACATAAGGACGCAAGCCCAGACCCAGCATAGTAACAATCCCCACCTCAGAACCAAATCTCAAACCTGCTCCGGCTCCCTGATCCTCCAGAGGCTGCTGGAGCCCCTAGAATTTAGCCTCACCTCCCATCACAAGAGGCGGCTCCTTCATGAGTTCCCACAGTTCAGACCCAGGTGTTCCCAGGCATAGTATCAGCCCTGCTCTCAGCCCCCTGGTCTCCTTCCAGCCTCTCTGCGTCCCCTCCTCCTCCCCGCTCCCTCTGCTGCCTGCCGCATGGGATCCTGTCCAGGCCCCTCCAGGGCTGTCGCCTCTGGCTGTCTCGCCCAGTGGTGCATCGGTCCCTGCCATGCAGCTGCGGCTTTGGGCAGACGTCTGGAGTCCCTCGCCCTTTGGGGAAGAACTCTTGCATGGGTGTACGCGGACGGGGGTTCAGCGTGCATGGAGGAGGGGCGACAGGCATGCATGGTGCTGACAGGGTGCAGGTGCTGAGGGGAACGGCTAGGCGTAGGGTTGTCCTGGCTGCTAGCGGGAGCGTTGTGGCCTGCTCACGTTTGACCCCAGGCTGTAGGAGCTGGG